GGATGAAAGTAGGAAGTAAAGTAGGCAAAGTAGGAAGTAAAGCCGATTACTATATTCAGAGAGGAGAACGAGACCAATATTAGACTTAGCCAAATGGCCAGCCTAAGCTGCCACCAGTGTAATATCCTCTCCTTTCTCATAAACCTCCTTTGCTGGTTAACGAGGGGGATGCTTTTGTGTAGATTCGCTAAGCATTCTGGTGCTACAAGCTTAACAGAGGGCTAAAGGGGTCGGACACTGCCTATCGCGGTCCCAGGGAGTCGTTAAAACACTCGTTAAACGCGGTCATAAAGTTGCATTCTCGCCTCTCCTTCACAAAAGACAATTTACTAAGCTCAACACGTACTACATATACCAAAGCCTTCTTCGATCACATAGGTAGTCGAAAAAAGGGGTGAAGAATTAGTTCTAAATGTTTACAACAAGTATGAGCGATGAACAATTCAGTAAAAACAGCGTGAATACACAAACCCTTTAAAATTATTAAAGTCTTTAAGTAAGAGTGCAAACTAATTTAATACATTAAGAAAATTCGGAAATTGTAAGTCCATTTGCGAACATTTTTTATACCTGAACTTAATTTTTATGAAACTCAAGACAGTTAGTACTGCCTGGCCTATGTTGTGGTTGTTTTAAGCACCCTGCCTTACATAGGTGAACCTATACAGCGGTCAGGCTTGCAGCTGGAGTTAGGCTCCCGTTTTGTTCAGTATGAGTTTATGCTCCGTATAAAGTATTGTTTGCTTTTAGCTTATTTTATGCTTTGCAAGTTGTTCTAAAGCCTCTGGTCTCTCTACTCTGGCGTGCTTTACTTGCATTCTTCGTTTTGCTCTTTGTGTAATGCTGCCCAGCTTACGTATTGGCTTTTAGAGTTAGCGACGTCAGCGTCTTGTTTCGTCATGTCTCAAATTGAGGTTATTTCCAGAATAAAATTGTCTCTTTCCGAATTGAATGGTATTTTTCAACAGTTGGTGGCCCGTGAGACTGCAAATGGAAATATACCTACCGGTACGATTAAATTTTTTTGCATGGGCGTCTGCTATGCATAGGACTTACTTCCATACGCTATTTTCAGGACTATCTTTGATATCAAATGAATTTGCAGCTATTTTGATTTTAATTGCATTCGTTTCGCTCACAAAGTTAACTGTAATTTGATGCCGATAAAGGTGAAGGTATTGAATAGTTTTTGCGCAGTTAGTGCTTTTGCAAGGAAACACTTTTTGACTCAACTGGGGAACCTAATTATGTAATTTAATGTATTGCAGCCGAATCAGGGTCTCTGCTTCTTCCACAAAGTACCTTGGATAACGACGTCCTCTATGCGTCACCCAGTCGCACACCTATAGCTTCGACTAACAGCGTATGGCGTCGTTAATTCTATCTCAGTTAAATTAACTGCATTACCATGATAGTGAGCGATTCAATTCCCTGTGTCAAATTACTTGACTGCACTTTGATGCATAGGTGTTGTGCATATAATTAGGTTACCTAATTTAGTTGGTAGCAAATGATCTTCGCGATTATTATTGGTAGTAACCGTTGGACTAAAATCAGTATGAATTTCACCTATGGTTGCTCGGCTCTCCCGCAGAAACTTCTTCGTTGTCCCATCTTTAAAATTTTTTATGAGGTTTAGGTCAACTAGCAACCAGATTTAGAAAGTTGTTGGCTGCCATTCAACAATCTAATTCAGTAATTCGAGGTGGTATACAAAATTTCTTTGCTCCTTTAGAAAGATAGGGTTATGTGGTTGCTGGAAGACCTCAAGAATGCTTTTGACTCCGTCTATTCGCAAGGGAAAAGTCATGCTCGCAGACCTTCAAAGTTCACACAGAAGTTAAGACCACTCCCAAGCAAAGGAAAGGTTAGTTTTATTAATTCTCAAAAGAAGGTAGTAGCATCTATGTTTCATTTTGTTGAACTTGTTACAGCATCGAGTTAAGGGCATCTTGCAAGATTTCAAATCGTGAAGATTGATGTTGTCATTACCGTTTTTCGTAAAACTTTATTAGATCGGTTTCGAGGCTTAGAATAAAACGCTCACTAGTTTGTTGAAGTAAATCTATATGGACGAGGGTGCTCATAACTGAAGATGCTATGTGCAACTTACCTTTTGTGAGAACCGCTTAATTTGAGAGGGCGAATTTGGCTAGTACTATTCTTCTAATGATTTATTAGATCATTTTCTTTGGAATAACCAAGGCGACGTTTGTGTCGATTTTTAGCTTGGGCGATGATTAGGCTATTCTCCTCAGAGGAAATAATTCCGAGATTACTTTTCCTAATCACCTTTTAGATTTCTTCATATGTGGGTGTTGGGTCTCGCGGGTATAAATTCTGATGTACGATATCTTTTTTTCAGAATCGTATTCAAAGCATTCTTCGTGTAAGTTCACATCAAATACCAGGAAGTTAATCAGAATCTGGGATTGGTTGTTAAACCGTTCTTCTACGTCAACAAGCATGGGGTGTAAATACTGTTTTTATGAATATGGGGAATTTTGAGGCTCATCGGCTCTTGAGTAGGAAGTTACAGTTTTATTTGGAGATATTTTATGCAAGGATTTCTGACTACGTAGTGGTATTTTCTTACAATCGGTAGCAATATTTTATTTGGGCTTCGTGGCATCAGTCTGCATTTTCCGTTTAATTTTCTTATAGTTCTGCTAGTTTACCACTACTTTGCACCTTTTGACTACAGTATTGGTAGACACCTTCCTAATCATGCTCGCACTGCATTCCCCACGGGCCTATCATTAATTTAGCGTCCCGGTAAATTGTCGTAAGTTGACTGGTGCTTTGAATAGGATGCTAAACTAACCTCTTGAAACTCTATGCTACTTCATACTGACGCATTAAACTTCCCACAATTTTTGAATTCGCAGGCATGTTGTTCTATTGGTGGAATTCTGAAATGCTTCTAGATGTCTTCACATTCTAACTTCCTATTAATTTTTGTCGCTACCATTAAATGAATTTATTTCGCCGATTGCTAATGATGACAGTACACTCTTTGTATGCGCTTATGGTTTTAATCATGCTTCTGCCTATCACTTTGTTCTGCTATCATTAGCTCGAATGGTTGGACGGACAACTCAGAAGGAGAACAGGTTTCATTAGAGGTACGTGATTTCAAACTAGCATTAGTGTCTATCGGAATTAGCTTTGAGCATGGGAATTTCCATTTGATGCTTGCTGTGATCCTTTACCGTCGATGTGAGCCTGCTTTTAGAGTAATTTTCAGGTTTATGATTGTTTAAGAAGTGGTATCTACTGTCCTTAAATCGTAAAGCACTGTTACGTCTTCGCCCTCTCAACCCTATTTGTCCCTCACACCCTTACATCTCAGTAAAACCGTAGCTCTCATCATATGGGGGTGGTCCAGTTGGTTTAACAGGCTGTTAGAAGCTAACTTTAAGAAGCCTGAAATGTAATGCTGATAAAATTTTAAAATGCACTTTTTTGGAGATTTGAATTCCGTATTTTTTGTTCAGCGCATTGGCACATCGTGGGTATGGAGTGCGCTTGAGCATAACAGTGAATGGGCTTGCTCAATTGTCGATTGCAGGACGATTGAAGGTACTGAAGATGATCACACTGAATTCAAACTTCAAACCGTGGTACGTATCTCTTGATGTTTTACTCTGTTGTTGTGTTAGATGTCTAACGCACTGTTCGATCGGTGTCTGAGATCAACCAATTCTTGTCCAACACCAGAAACAATAACTGCTACGGAGGATGTACGTTCACCTTACATATTTTTTTATCTATCTTTACAAACACTAACCTCAAATTTTAAATGTTTGTAGGTACGACGGGTCACGGTTTTTCATAGGTTCAATGATTTTAAAACGCTATTTGGAATCATTGGTGCCACCTATCCATACCTTTGCATACCGCCCCTTCCACCCAATAGATTTGATAGTAAGTCATAAAACAGATCCTCCTCCAGTCCATAGGTACCTTCCCCACTTTGCGCTATATAGAGTTTGGATTTGAAGAGATTACCCTTACTCTTGCTTTAAGCGGTCAAATTGCATGATTAGTGTTGTTGCCAATTTCACTCAAGCAGAATATTGTACCTGATGCAAAACAGGTCTTGGTAAAATTTGGGAGTTGTATATGATTAATTTTTGCATTTGTTTACTCTTTATTCTATGCGTCTCGTTCGGTTTGAATATTTCTGCAGATCTCAAGGACAAGGTGATTCTGTACAGAAAGAGACATCTTGAACTATGGCTTCGCTACTTTGCTATTCATCCCATCATAAGCAAAGCCAAGTACATTCACGACTTCCTCTTTCAGAATGGCGAAGTGGGTGTTGTTTATTGTTTATACCATCTTAATTATCCTGTTTATGCGACCAAACTTTTAAACCTGGAGAATTGCTTATCAATTGCGTTTATAAAATTGCTTCTAAAGCAGTTGCCAGTATTTAGGAACTCAAATTTGATGGCAAAAATAGCATTGTGGAAAGAATATGGGCATATGTCCTCAAAAGAAGCAGGATTGCAGCCAACTCCTTTGCTTTTTACACAACCTGATCCCCAGTCAATTACCTTTGCGCGTGTATCCTTCAACTATATTTTATTAGAGCTAGACCGAGCATGGAGCAAACGTTTGAAATCAAGCAATTTGTGGAAATGCCTTGTTGCAATCAGATTCTATCAGTTGAAGCACTGCATATTTTAGCGATGGAAATTGCAAATAAAGGACTTAAAAGCATCGGAAAAGAGCATAGTGGGATGTGTAAAGCTCTCATCTGTCTCCCCTGGCCTCCTGGAGAAGTAAGTCGTTTCCTCTAAGTTTACATTGAAGGTAAGTTTCTACACACTTCTTTGGCCATGCATTTGTGATCATGTAGCAGCAACCTTTTCGCCTTTATTGTCGCTACCCATCCAAGTGACATTCTCTTTTGTCTTTAATTGCATTCTGAACGGCTTCGAACAGATATCGTAGTAGAGGGCCACTATTCTTTGTCTTACAGCTTGGAGCATATGGATAAAATCAAATCGACTACACGTCAACTTGAAGAGGCCATTGGAGACATCGGAAAACTCTTCATTGACGAGCGAAAATCATTTTCTGAAGGTACTGCTAATTTCTTTGAGCAAACTTATCCCATGTTTTGATAAAACATTATTTTTCCGAGTTGCCCATTCTCAGTTCTTCCAAGCCAATAGAATCGCTCAAACTCAACTCTACCTTGGTGATAACGAGAGGAGAAATCTTGGATGAATGTCTCATCTTTGTGCACTCAGCTAAAAGACTATTAGTTTGTTTGAGTTGTTCGAATCTCACAGAGCCAACGCGTTAGCAACAAACTCAGTTATGCGCTTCCTTTAAACTCACAACTGTTTTCAGACCACGTCTCTCCCTAGACTCACCATCTATTGTATAGCTATTCAATTTTATCTCATATTTGTATGCTAATATGATCACATTTTATTTTTAAAACTCAGACCTTCCTAATACCTACACCTACTACTGCGCAAAGCTGCAAAAACTGCCGTCTCTCCTTGGAGAGAACCCCGGTAAGGGTTCATCGATTGTTTAATGGCTAAGAGTATGTGGCTGTGATTACGCGTCTTCTCTACTCTGCATGGATTCTGAGACTGTTTTGCAGGTGCACAACCGATAGAATACTCTATGGCTCGTATTTCATTGCATCATTTCATCAGCACACACATCACATGTTGCCTTACGTACTAAGCTTTGTTGATAGTTTTCAAATACCCCTCCCTTACTTGATGAAAATAAGGGAGGCTCTGCTGATTTCCTTACTACTGCTACTGATTATCTGCAGATTTTCGAAGATCTCACTGGAAGTTTTTTTGATGTTGGAGACTACTGAGCCGTTTTCATGCATTTTCTAGAAGAGTGCTACACCCAAAGCTGGAAAGAAATATTTTTTAAGGTAGCGGACATCTTTAACAAGAGGGCCTCTTCTTTAAACTCTAATAAAGTAAGTTTGGAGCTGTATGTGACTATGGGATTTACTGCCGGACAAAGCTTCATTATACGTTTTTCTGTGATATATGTTGTGAAGTTAAAAAAATTAGCATGCGAAGTTATCAAGTTATTTCATTAAAAAAACCGTTTAAGCAAGATTTCCTTTTCGACTGCATTTTAAGTTCTTGAGCCATCGTCAAACGTGGAAACTCATCGTTCTTGATGCCTCTTGCCTCCTCATTTCGTCAGGTTGAGTTTGCACTGCTAAACCTTGGTCACATCGGATCGTATTGAAACCACTTCACGATGCGTTGATAAGCGATCTAAAATGTTATTTTAAACTTCAATTTCACTAATTATTTTTAGGCACACAATCAATATGTTTGGGAGATGTGTTAAAAGGTATAAAAAATTTTTTGGTAGGAAATGCTTGTGGAAGCTGGATCAAGATAAACTCATTTTGCTTTAGAATTGGTGCATCCACCCTTTTTTTTTAGCTTCCTAGGCTACATTAACGGAAAAGCTTGTTTTGTCCACCACTGCATATTACGCTTCTTCTGAAGTCTACATTCCTTTGAAGGAGCATTTCGATGAAATCACAAGTATCCTCGAGGAATTCTCCAACATGATCAAGCAGTTGCGTAAACTTGCTGTGGACAGCACGATAAATAAGGGGAAGGAGCAAAATCACGATACAATGCTAAAGGCGCTCTCCTTGGAGGCGGAGTTTCACTGGGTCCTAAAGAACCAAACTGGACGGCTGACCCTGGGTCTTGCCGATTTTTGCGAGTCTCATGCTCGGCTGCTTGAGGAGGACGCTTTTTTCTGTTACAAAGCTGTGGACTTTCTCAGATTTAGGCCAAGACAGAGCATGTAACATCCTATCACATTGTCGTTTTTTGTTGTTTGGGGCTATCAGTGGGGACGATCGGTTGTCTCCATGGCTTTCAGGGCCATGGTGCGCTCGTGGGGATAGCTCAGAGGCCAATTGTTACCTTTTGTGGTGTGACTCCTCGAGAGGGTTCTCATCTAGCAGGTTCTGGAAGTTGGACGTTCGCGCAGGGATGCGTGTCGGGAGGAGGATGTCATGATGCTCCTGTGATTCAAATACATCTGCTTTTGTTAACCTAGTGTTTTAAATATTCAAAGTATTAGACAAAAGAATGATGCAGCGAGCTTGTGAGTCTTTGCATTTTTGATGGTTTAGTGTCGACCAGTGTAGAATTTAAACTAACAAATTACATCTTGTTTAATGTGATCAACGAGGGCGCGCAGTGCCAGCTGCGCTGCTTAAGTTTTGCGTCGTAATTTTGCTGATGGGCTGTTTTGTATGGTTATTTTATCTGTTAAGTATGTTATGTTTCTGATTATAATCTACAACCCTCCTTTACTGTTTTATTTTCGCCTTAAGCTTTGGTAACGCAGCAAAATGCGTGAGGAAAAACGCCGACGTATGCGTGATGAGGAGTGTAAGTCATGGTTAACAGGTTTTTTGTGTCACTTCAAGTCATTCTGTATGCATTCATCGCTCCCAAACGTTTTCTTTTTATAATTTGTATCCCATTGTGTAGCCTAACTAGTTTTCTACGAGCATCTGACGTAAGTGTAAAACTTAATTCCCCTTTCGTCTAGATTTTTAAGAACTTCTGTCCACGAAATGGGAGTTTCCATGTGGCTGTTGATTTTGATTTAATGCTATCTATCTATTTGGTGTTTAAGCTATTTGTGGGATTTCATCGGTGTTTTTGAAAGATTGATTTTTTATCCCAATTTCGTGGCATGGGTGAATGCTGCCATTCTTTTCTGGTATGTGGGCTCCTAAAGTTTGGAATTATCAGGATTTGCAATTGTAGAACTTCTTCTGTAGCCATGAGCTAGCGTTCGCTATGGATTATAATTTAATATATGATTGTGAGTACTACCCATCTTGGGCATTGTTTTCACATTATTAATGCTATTTATTTTAGTTTCCGCAGCCAAAAAGAAACGTGATAATTCTCCCACTGCCCATTGCTCTACTTCAGGCACACCAGCTTCCAAATCGAGAAGTCACATACCGGTGTCTGAGCGTCAACAATTTGCACTTTTAAAATTGATGGAGACAAAAAATTCTCCATCAGATCGTGGTATGCCATGCTCTAACTTGAAGACAACAAAAACTACTTAAAGCAGTCGTTTAGTGGCTACTATGCTGTCAGATGAGCTTTGTCACTTTTTTTGAACTCCTAGTTTGTATATGAATTCATAAGTAGCTGTACTTTTCACATTTATTGAGGTTATATGTAGTCATTTTTCCTTATGAGCATCCTGGTCTTCTTGAATTTCTTATGCTTTAGCTAAATTAGTGACTACATGTGCATACCTAAATGAGCATTCCTAAAATAACTTCGATTGACTTGGAATGCTCCACATTTGTTCTGGAAACTAAGTGCAAACTACACATATATTGAGGTCTCCCTTAATTCGCAACAAGGTGGTAAACAAGTGTGGGAGAGCCAGGACCGGGAGGCTTGTGAGTCAGATAGATCTCCCCCCCCTCCGCCGACAGCTTCCAAGGCACAGCCGACTGCTTCTCTAGTCACCACCTCCGCCACCGGCGGTACCACTCCCGGGCGGTATAGCAGCCCATACCAGGAGTCCGGTCATCAGGTTGAAAGAGGGATAGGATCTCACAGTCATTCCCATTGTCATCACGGTCACAGTCACTCCTCGTCATCCTCCTCTTCTCACCACTCCGGTTCTCGAAAGTCGTCTTCTCAGCAGCAGCATCGTAGTGGGAGTTGTGAGTCTCCACTCATGCGAGTCTCCAAAAAGGGCGATCTTCTAACACTTAAAATGATGGTGAAGGAAGGCGCTGACGTAAATGAGCAAGATGCCAATGGTGAGCCCCGTAAAATCATTTATTGCCCTCTTGTAACCATAAATGCTCAGGTTGAAGCCTAAGGCTTTGCATGCAGTCCTTGGGCATGTTGGTACCGCGACTTAAAAGTAGCGATTTTTGAATTCATTAAGCTCTTGTTGACCACTGCGTTTTGTTTTCTCCAAAATCTAATGTTTACTCTTACACATCGGCTCTCTTCATTGACTCGTTGTTTCTTAACTGTGGTTTTATTAAATAGAAAGTGGTGTAAAAGGAAGATAGCTCATTTCTTTTGCGTTTTAATCGAATTTTGCTTGTATTTGGTGTGTATTGTAAGAGGGCATTTAGTTTCGCTTTCCACGCACGCCTTAGTTCCATCATTCGTTTCACATCATCTACATTCATCTACACACTTGCGCTCGCTATTTTGTGTGTCCTTTATTTTCTAGGTCGGACGGCGCTCCATGAGAGCAGTCTGCAGAATTTTTTGCATGTTGTGAGCTACCTTTTGAAGCACAATGCAAACCCCAACGTACAAGCCATGCCCCGCAGTGGTGGTGGTGTGGGTACTGGTGACACACCACTGCATGAAGCTGCTCGTGAGGGTCACATTCGTATAATTCGTGCGTTGCTGCGCTATGGCGCCGACCCGAAAATCTGCAACAACAATGGTGACCGACCAACTGATCTTTGCCCCAATGAAGCCAGCCAATTGGTCTTTAAACAAGTAGACCTTTCACTAGAATTCTTTTTCATCAGCATGCCTTGTGTTTTGTGGGTTCTGGACGAGGTTGAAACATTGCAAAAAAGTGGTTCTTACAACTGTTTGTGATCATTTATGTGAAATTGATAGAAGTCTCATCGGATAACCGAGTAGAAATGTTTTTGATTTGGATCTCCCTTGCGTCGATCTTATGCATTTAACTGTCTTCTCGTCGAACGTCTGATTTATGCATAAGTTTCCCACTCCAAAAGAAGGTAATCTTTGATGAATATACTGTATTATTTTTGTGCTTTGGTGCATGTATGTGCATAATATTTACACTTGTTTGAGGAATATGTCTGGTTTGTTTTAGAGTAATCAGTCTCGAGACTACCCAGTTATAGCAAACACGACAGCTGCATCATCGGTTCCGGTGAAGAAAGTCTCTGTCACATCTACATCAAAGTCACCACCGCCACCATCTTTGGAAGGTCACCACCAGGTTCGAATCTCCTTTGCAGAGGAACAGGGTAGCAGTGGTGGCAATGGTTGTATCAAACGGCGAGGTAGTCCTGATCTCCCCAGCTCAAGTCCAGTTTGTGGGCAAGGGCAACAGCACTGTGCGTTAAACTCACATTCGCATTCACACTACACGGGCTTTACTGTGCGGAAAAACAGTTTATGGGTTTGCTTCATCCTAGAACCCCTCTGTGGCAAATTTGTCGATGATGTTCATTGCATCAACCGAGCACGATTTGATCTACACTCCTTTCGGTCGCTACAAATTCCCATTATCCCCACCTAGCACTTAATCTCTATTTTCTCTCCTATGCTTTTAAAATAATGCTCAAATCCTGATCGAGCAATATTTTGTGATACATACAGCTTCCAAAAAAGACCCATATGCCTTTGACGATGAGGAGGTGGAACTGGCATCCCAACCAAGCCAAGAGAATGTCACTCATGCGTCTGCAAACACGACTGTCGTCACCTCCTCTTCACCTCTGCAGTCACATCGCTTCAGCACAACTTTTGTGCCTTCTAGTACTTCTACCGTGGCTGCTGTCGTTTCCTCCTCTGTCCTTATTAACACAGCCTCGGGAGATTCTCTTCATTCAGTTTCAACCTCAGTCTCACCAAATCCCGTTGTTGGTAGCGGGGGTGGGGGAGGACCACCACTGAAGCTGCGTTTTGCTATGGAAGCTGGCCACTACACCGTGATGGAAAATCAAGAAAATCCGCCGGAACAGGCAACTGTCGTTGTTAATTCCTCTGCTGCCACTGCTGCTGTGCCTTCTGCCACGACAACAACAATTATAGATGTGCTGCCTATGGAAGGGGGGATGATGGTCGGCAGTGCAGAAGAATTGAACCAGGGGTTGTCCATGGATGCAAATTGCAAGCTAGAATCTGGGGAACAGGTAAGTTGTATCACCGAATCAATTTTTCCCATCGACATTTTATCAAAATTTATTTTCGCATTCTCTATAGTTTTTTGATTCGATGTGTTCTGTTGCTGTATTATAAACTCCAAACCTTCTACTGACATTAACGTATGCGAAGTGGTGTAGCAATAGTACTTGTTTTTAGAAGCCGTCTAGTTTGTTGGAGGAGAGTGTCGATCGCGAGAGCGACAATGGGCGATCGCCGAGGGTGCCTCCCTTACGTATTAAATTGGGCAATAGTACGCCTCCGCCCTCTCACTCGTACTCTTCATCGTCACTTACACTTGAGCAGTCTCAAAACGAAGGTAGCGGACTCAACGGTGGAGATACCACAAAGGAACTGACTTTGGGAAGCGAGAGGAAGCAGGGCCTTGATGACGACGCTTCGGTTGCTGCATCTCAGCTTAAACCAAAGTCGGAAACACTCAGCGAGTTGGAGGAAGGAAAAGAGGAAAGAGATGAAAAGGGTGGCAATGATGTGCCCAAGGCTGAACAGGACGAAATTGGACTTGGAACTACAGGAGATAGTGAAGAAAAGAAGTCAGCGGATGCAACTTCTTCAGCATCACATCAAACAAAACGGGGGGTCGGTTGTGGTGCTGGTGGTGGAAAAGTGGTTAAAATCACTTCCAATGATTCAGCCTCTTTAAAAAGGCATGCTGCTCTAGAGTCGAACGAAGTCAAATTGAAGGACATGAGTGAGGTGTTTTGCACTTTTTTGTTAGTTTTCATTAAACCTTCGCCCTCCCCATTTTTTAACATCGTCATTATCTTCGGCTCACTTTTATGTTACTTTTGTAATCGCTGTGGTTAATCTACGTCTATTATCTTTCTCAAAGACGAAGATAGAAGATACGTCCAAAACTCGGAGCTTCCGGACACTTCGTTCGCATACAGCAGCACAGCGAGAAAGGGAAGAACGCGAAAAAAATTGTAAGCACATCGGCTTGATACCTCACCATGAGGCTGGCGTGCAAATTGCAATTGTTGGTAACAGATTTCTGATTTTGCACTACACATGTAGTTTTCTATTTTAGATGATATTCGCTGTTGTAAACATAGTAATTTATTGATTGCATTACCAACCCCGTAGCTGACGTGGCGCCTCTGAAGAAGCGTAAGTACCGCTCAAAAGGAAGTAATGGAGGCAGTGGTGTAGAGGGTGGTGGTGGCGGTGAAGTTGATGCTGGTAAGTCAACGGACCATGAGGATGCTAACGCTGCAAACGAAGCGTCGTCTTTGCGGTCCAGCTCCACTAATGAGGACATTGCGGCACCAGGAGCGGCTGAAGAGGAGGTGCAAAGTCCGTCCGGTGAGGCAGTTGCTGCGTCTTCCTCCTGTGGTCACGATCAGGTCACTAGGTCTGCTCGCGTTTTTGACGATCCCAGCAAGCCTAGTGCTGTGGGCTGGGGTGAGAATCCTTATGAAAAGGCCGCGGAACTCAATCATGGGGTACTTTATATTGGCGCTGTCCCTTTTTAGCAATCTCGAAGTAATATTAAATAACAATTTCCACTGTTCCTCCACTATTAGCTAACAGCCGGTGTCTATCATGTTGGTGTTTCCGTCTGGTCCATGATTCCCATTTCTTTAGCACTTTTATAACTAAGATCTTATCTGGGCCAAAATGGCTTACTTTCACGTGATTTGTTTAGTAATACTACTAATTGGTATCTATTTTTTACACCTTTAAATCCTACTTTAAAACTAAAAATTCATCGGTTTTCACTCAACTGGTTTGTTTACTGTATTACTGGACGTAATCGTTCACTGTGACTTGAAGAACATGACGCCTATGAACATCGTTAGTAACTGTCTTCAGCTCTCTGAACTGATTGGGAAGCTGGTGGAATTACAACCGAAGGAACCAACGGGCTATCAAGACTATCTACTTGTAACCCGGGATTATCTCCTTGCTGGCAACACTCCTCATCTTGTCAGTCGAGTAAGATACCATTCACTGGTTTAGGTTCTCCCCTCTATCGTACCATCGTTTTGAGTGCCTATTTAAGTAGGATCTTTTGCATGTCTTCATTTCTGCGGTTCTAGCGCCAATGCCCTCCTGAACTCCCTCAAGCACTGATCGAGCTATTCGAAGAGCAGGAGGATGAGCGTCACATACAAGCACTCAAACACCAGTCGGAAAGGGTGAGTCTTAGTATTTTCATTTCAGCTTTTTAAACGGTACTTCGCTCAAATAATATCGACACTAGTATTTGAGGAAAAGACAGTGTTAGACCGAAACTTGTCTAGCTTTGCGTCTACGATTTTGCGTAAAGTGAGTATCCGAAATGTCATCTTGGTAAACCTGTCATCATAGATTGGGACACTGTTGTCATCAGATCTTTATACGCTTTTCTGCAGGAACAGCTTCGACTCTGTGCCGAGCAGTCCGTACTTAGGGCCCAGACGAGAGCTACGATCGCTCTAGCCAACCAGCCTCGGCCTCTTTCCTTCTGTTCTGTGATGGCACTCAAGGGATTCACCTATCTACCACCATTCAAAGACCCTGAGCACAGGGTGGGTAGCATTATCGCGTATATTACTTTCGGTAGATCATTTGCATTAGTGTCTGCGATCCTAGGTTTCGAAGATTTGCGTTTTCTACGAATTGAATCATCTTCCTTTCTCTGGCTCAGGATGAAGAAAGTGTGCGAGATCGTTTCAAGGCTCGAACTTTAATCGGCTGGCTCCAAGACATAAAGGACAATTTCCATTTAGAAAAGGTAGCTTTATTTGTCTTAGAACTCACATAGCCCTGCTTTTCATATACCCTAAAGTAGCAACTACTGTTGAGCTTATCAAACTGCTTGGTTACAATAATAGTTTCTCCCATGCCTTCTGAATGCGGAGGGATGCTACTTCCTAACGTTTTCATTTTTAACTTGTGTGGTTTACTGTAGAAGAAACTTCTCTGTCGTCAATTACACGAGGCTGAGTCGCTGATGATGGTACAGAAACTGGACTGGGAGGTGAAACTGAAAGAGCTACACCTGTACGACCATGGAACAAACATCTTTGATCAAATACCCAACCAACACGTGCCTCTCATTGGGGTACCGAGTGACTTTCCTCTGTTTGTTCACGATCCCATCCAGCGCCCTTCCTGATACCTGTCTCTGCAACCCGAACTCTATAAAATTACACCCACAATAATGATGCTTTCGGAATCGATTAGACATCTCGCATACAAACTTCGTTCGTTGACCACATTTTCTGATGCAGAAAACATACAAGCTTAGGTACTTGTCACCTTTGACAAATTAACATCAGCCAATGTGCCGACGTTGACCCTGATCAGTGGGAAATCATACTTATGAGGATGATAAATTAGTGAACGAACGAAGAAAGTTCTAAATAACTCCAAAAATTTCAAAGCTCTTGATGTAATTATTTACTTCCATCAAACCAACTTAATGAATGATTCTGCTAAACATATCAAAACGTTCAATTAGCAAAAACAAAAATTGACAGCCAGGTAACGAGGGAGCAACTACAAATCAAAGTCTGTGTCAATATTGGCGAAGGTCCAGTCTTCGGGGGCTAGGTCTTGAAAATTCAAGAAGTCCTTTCGAGATCTGAATTTGACACGTTTCGATGGCATGTTGTTTTCAGCATCACTACCCAATCCCATCTGCAAGACTTCTGCTTTACTTGGAGAAAGAGCAGTGCCTTCAGAGAAGGTGAAGTGAGACAGCTTGCCTTTAATGCGTAAATTTATTACATTTTCATTATTGCCTTTCTTCAAGATAGTTATAGGACATTTGGTTTGGCCTGAGTTGTCGATCGAGGATTCACTGGAAAGCTGTGACTGGGTCCTCAGAACTGAAACCTGCGGCATCACCTTCACTGCACAATTCTGTCTTTCCTTCACAGTAGGTGTCAACAGTATCTCTGGTGTAGATTTATCTTTAATTCCACGGTCTTCAACAGGAGAAACATTTGTAAGACAAACTCCTGAACCTGGTTTGAAAAACTGGCACTTTTCTCCAGTCAATTTGGGGGTGATTACAGCAGGCAGTTCATTGATATAGGTAACTTCGCGAGGCTCGGAACTGTTAGCATAAAGGTCAAGGGAGTCGCTGATTGTTTTGAAACTCGCATGCTCTACACCTAGTTCATCGCAGTTTCTAGCGCTACCAATAGGGAATACGGCATCACCAGATAGTGCTCTAGGACAGAAGAACCGGTGTTCGGCTATACTTTGGCTTTTCATCTGAGTGGACGTGTGTATGGGTTGGAATTCCGATTTTGTGGAAGAGGAGATACGGCCAAACCACCCATTGCCGATGTCCTCAGGACCCAGATTCAGTTGTGCAAAGACAAACTCAAGGATTTCTTCGAATGTGCACTCCATATTGTGACACTTGACGGTCTCTTCAGGACTCAAGCAGCGCCCATTCACTTTGATGGCCGAAGCGCTGCGACCAAATGTCGATTGGAAAGAGCAGTCCATCAGCCAAATCACCATGACAGCGTCCTATGAATAAATCCAGTTAAGTGGACGTTCAGAGAGCCAGCGTGAAGGACACACTCACACATGAGATGCGAACTGACAATGATTTTTGCTTTTGCACTAATGGGGGTAGTGTCATTGAATTAGAGACCATAAGCAAGACTGCTAGAAACCTAATGCTCAAATATTCTGATTGAAACAAGAATTGGGGTCAGTGGGATCTTGACCATAGTTGCTTTAAAGTAATAATGGCATAAGTTATGTAACAGTGAGCTTGATAAGGGGAAGATAGTAGTCGCTAGTAGTGATCGACAAGATTATAAGAATGTGAAATTATTACCTCAACAACAGCAACATGGCGAGCCATTAAACGGGCGTGAGCTTGTGTCAGACGGACCAGACTTTCGAGAAGACGCAAGGTCGTCCTGCCCGCCACTACATGATCATCCTCCGCCCCATGCATTCGTCGCAGTGTACGTCTACGCAGTTCATAGTACCGTTGCAGAAGGATCGCCGCATCACTCGAGAGACGGGGCTGAAATTCTCCTCGAACCCATGATATGTAATTTCGCAACTCTTCAGTTGTCCAAGTTATCCGCCTCTAGGTGACCGGGAAACCATATGAGCATACAGTAAACAGGAAATTAGTACAAGCTTTAACCAAAATTAGATCTACTGCGGGCTTCTCCTTTTCACCGTCATCCCCGTTTTGATCTGTTGATTTAAAGCCAAGAACATGATCAGCAACAGCGGAGTCCCAAGCCTCACAGCCAATGGGATCAAGAAGGCGCCAGACCAGGTCGAACCGTGATAGCAAAGGAGTAGGCAAAAGGTTGGAGCTGTGTTCGGTTCCAGTAGGTAGAGAAGAGGCAGCGATTACGGCGCAGCGGCAGTTTAGTCGAGCTACGAGGCCTGCTTTGGCCAAGGAAACAGTCTGCTGTTCCATAGCCTCGTGCACAGCAGCACGATCGGCTCCGCGGAGGCTAGTGAACTCATCGATCGCGCAGACGCCGCCGTCTGCAAGCACTAGAGCGCCCGCCTCCAGTGCCCATCCTGAGGTATCCCGCACTGCTGCCGCCGTCAGTCCCGCAGCTGTGGTGCCCGTTGCTGCGGTAAAAATTGCTCTACTTGCCAGTCGACAAGAAGCACACAGCAAAGCCGATTTTGCCGTGCTTGGCTCTCCAATCAATAGCAAATGAATGCTTCCACGCACTCGAAAATTCGTTCTGTCCCACTTAGCCATATCTCCCACTCTCTCGACTTCCGTTGTGCTGTAATCTAATAAAGGCGGCTCCTTTTCTCAGGCTATTGCTTGAAGTTCAATGCAAGCGTCCCAACAAGCCACAAAGGAACCAAAAGTGTCTCAGTGAAACAATCACCAAAGCATTTACTGAAAATGCATAAAAACTCACCAAAATTATCTTGACACGGCGGTGCTCCAACAAGAGCAAGAGCCAAGGACAGTTTTACGAAGTAAAGACCATATACATCTGGGCATATACTTCTCACGATTTCGTCGCGCAGACCCAAAGCTGCCTTGAAACTGTTCTTGGGTTTAACAAGCGACCAATAATTTCCGAAACGTCTACCCATTTCTTGAGTACAGTTAGCACTACCCAATTCACCACGAAAACGCATTTCGGAAAGGTTTTCAATCGAATTAGCACGAAATACAGTTTCTATGTCAAAAGATGATCCAACTTTCGGAGACCTCCACCGGTGAGTAAGGATCCCATTAATAATCACGTCGTCTCCAGGCCGAACAGCATCAACTAGTTCGGCATCAAGACAACACACCATTGATCTTGGCATTCTTCCGACAGCTAAGTAACCAAGTCTTTCATTAACACGGATCTCTTGAAAACTATGGAGTGGTGACAGACCTTCCTCATCAACTACATTGAACGTCGTTGAGACACACTTGTCAGCTGAGTTTGGACAGCGGCTTGGCGGAGACAGTGCATAGAATTGATTGAAATCAGCCTCAACCTTAAATGTGTGCCCACATTTCGAACAAGAGTAGGATCTTTCTAATTGCACAACCTGAATTGCACCAACGCGAGTTACGGTACACTGCAGAGCAAGAAAGCGTCCAACGTCGTCGGATTTCGGCATAACATGCCGGAAGACTTCCGACATAGGAGGGAGAGAAACAATGCGGACCGCACACCTGACGGGAGACCTGCCAATACCAGAATGATTTGCAATAAAACAACTCAGTGCCTCATCAAATGCGGACAAAGTGTCTAAAGGAGAAGACAAAAGGCATTGGGAGAGGACACTACTAAACTCGCAGAGACTGGAAAAATTAACAACCAAAGAAAAGACATCTGATTCTTTAGTCGCGCCAATTGACCCAAGACGGCCTTCGATAGCATCACCACAGTCCTTATTTAAGAATTCCGTGAATAGCAAAGTAACACGCGACTTGTCCGCAGCCTGAAAATTTTCCATCGAAAACGGGCTCTGATTGTGCCCTACGGCTGCGCGCAACACCCACAAAAAGCACAGCGGACTCTCATTTCACAAAGAAATGAGTTACCCAGGCATTAAAACAATCGGACAAGTTCTTCGATAAGTTAGTCGTTTTGATCTCATACTATAAACATTTGAAGGAAATTTTAAGGCAGTAGATAATTAATGGCAAGCGCGGACAGATTAAAACATTTAACTCCTTTATTTTGTTCCTCAGATATACGCACGCATTAAAGGAGCTCCTTGGCTTACATGCCTTATAAGATGAATATGTCTTTGACTAACATTATTACTGAGTTCAAAAATTATTGAGTGCCTGAATGAAATTTGGGTACTTCCTCCTTGGGCACCAGTCTGAAAGCTTTTGAGAACTCTAATCCCAAGCCTCCGCAATTAGCTTGATAAGTACTGAGCTGTGGACCAATGCATCAGTTATTTATCTCATTCACGCTTAATCAGCAGCACTTGTTAAAATCCTGCAGTCCAATAAGAAATTGATTTTATACCATGTAGATTTACAGTACCTTTCATCAAAATTAAGGATTAATCTACCCCTACTAAGAGGATCACTCGCCGCTTGAAAAATCAACGAACGGCGATGAACGAATTGGGTGTGAGCTCTATATTTTTTAAAAAAATTCATGTTTGTTAATTTTTGGCTTATTACTGCAACTAAGTTAGCACTTTTTTGGAATTTGGGTCAACGACTATACCCTCCGTAAAGAGGAATCGCTGTATAGTAAATTATGTTGGTACAGCACATTGGATGATCATTCTTAACGTACACATTCGTAAACTAATTGTGGTGTGGCACAGAGGGCCCGAGTTGCTGTTGGCATATCCTAAATGTTATGCCGATTTAAAGACGTCATGTGGCAAAGCCTCCAGTGTCAATGCAGTCAAAATGTAGGGCAGAACAGACCGATGGCAGCTAGATCATACCACGCTATTCTGATGACGGAGTAATGTATGCAAACGAACGCTTAGTTAAGTCAAGTCAAAATGTCAGTGATTTTATGAGTTCTCACATTCCCGAAGATGTAGTACCCAGTTCCAATTGAGCTCAAAATGTTTAACCGGAACATTCTGCATAAAATGTTCTTTACTCAAACCCTTCAACTTGCTTCTGACAAACGAGTTAGGTAAAACAACGTCCGTGCCTTTAATATCTTAATTAGATGTGCATCGAATTGCACTCGTATGCTTCATCTAATATTTGGTTGAAGTGCTCAGTCATAAAGCGGACTGCCTGAAACTATGCGCATTTTACTACAAAAATTGCATTAGAGTTGACAGGCTTTACAGGTCTTGATAAGCAGTTCAGTTCCGACCTCGGGCACAAATTTCCTTCTTTGGCTTTGAAGCATCCTTAAAATCAAATTAGGTCTGTGAAATGTATGCAAAACAAACACAAACCCATCGAAATTGCAGCCGAATGCAAGCAAAGGACCTAAGAACCACCAATATCTGCTATCTTCTGTTCCTTGTTATGACTATGGCAAAGTTGCTACGATCTTTCATAAAACGACGAGGCTCACAATTTTTCCTACTGAGAACTGGGATACTAGTGCTGATGACGCAGCTGATTTTCGTTGCTTAGGCAGTCAGCATTCTTATTAATGAAGCTGTGAATGGTCTGCTCAAAAAGATTACCCTTTTGCAGTCGCTTCTACTTCTAGTAGCCTTGAAAACGCTCCCTTTCCAGTGGTGCCTCCTAATTATTGCTCTAAGAAACATTTTCATTTACTGCATTTCAAAACTTATGTTCTGGCCTTTCGCCACCTACCTGCCCTATACAATCAACATCCATGTTTTTAAAGAACCTATTCACTGCTTGCGCTCGAAGCCAACGATATGAGTTCAAAGCGGTCTCCTATCTATGCACTATGCACACTTCGAATGAGAATAAGCTTAATAGGTGCAAGTTCTGTATGATCTTATTTTTCAAAAGGCTGATAGTTTAATACGGCTATGACCTCCATCGAGTCAGAGACATTACCGTTTTTTATATGCTCAAAGCGTACCACCTGTATTGGCAAATTTTCTTACTAATTTCTGTAAGGGTAACAATACCGACAGATTTGGAGTTGCCAGAGAAATCCGAACTAGTTCCTGCCAAGGCCATTATCTGATTGAGGTGTGTTGGTAAATTAGAGCCTTCACAAATGCGAATCGCAAAGTACTTCGAGCCTTGAAGTTGTCGCAGCTATTTTCCATTTTTCTACAACGTTGACGGGTAAATATGTAGGAGCTAAAATCGGTTGTTTTCAAAATATGCTTTTGAGAACAATCTGTGCTTGTACTAGGCTCATCTGCCTTTGCACCGGGATGAGGGGCAAATGAATGCTGGAAGTGTTTTCGTGTATTGAAGTAATCACGTGTACGCTTCCTTTCGGGCAAAACGCCAAGTACGCCGTTGTTAGTGCAACATCTGGGTGAGGACGTAGATCTGCATTTTATGATTGTGCGAGTCTTCAGGCGTAATTAATCATGTGGGAGTCTGCAAACAATAATGGGGCACTGACTGACTAATTCAATAAAACCCGGCGTATTGACGACCACACATGCCCTAATGCCGTAGACTTTTATTGCTCCCGTGGCCTGGGAGATGGAGGAGGGGAAGGACAAGAGGGACAGCCATGCGGCGTCCTCTGATTGGTTGTATGACTGCACAGACTGCAGTAAACGCACTCGGCGCATACTGCCCTCCAATGACACCGACGAGTTCGACAAAAAGGCAGTTAGGAGAATAAAAGAGGCAGAAGGAGTGAGTGAGAGAGAAAGAGGAACACACGCACGCACACGAATGCGCACACGAACGCAGCCATGGACATCCTGCATTGGGGAGCCAATTGACAACACCGAAGAAGGATATCGCAGGCGCGTGTACGCAATTCAGCGACTGTGCGTGCGTGCGTGAATGTGCGCGTACACAAGATACAACCGTGGGCCCCCTCACGGTTGGAGCGAGGCGAATGCGCTGCGGCGGCGGAGGTGGTGGTGTTGGTGCAATTTCTTCTGTTTCTCCTTTGCTATCACCTCTTCTCGCTGTCCCTCCCTCTCTCTCTAACCCTCCGTATCACTTGATGGAAAGATCACCCTTACGCAAGTCAAATACACAGTTGAATGTCAGTCTACAAACCATCATGGATTACATGAGCTCAAACGCCTTCTGCATTCTACTCATACTCATACTTCAAAGGCATGCAATAGCGTCGAGGAGTGAACAGTCGCTCACAGAGCAGTCAGTTCAGCACAAAGGGGTCTGGATAAATAAGGGTTTGATGTATTCGCTCTGCGTCTCATTACAATTCGACAGGCGACATTGCGCCAACTTTAGCCTTGTTCAGCGTCCGGTGGCAAAAAACCGGTTACTTCGCCCTGACTGTGCCTTTCTCATGAATCGACTCAAGTGCTCCCTGTACAAACTCAACTGTCCATCCCATCCAGATTTCTCATTTCAGGTGAGTTCTTACAGTAACACTGGTGGGCTCTCGGTCCGATGATTTTAACCTCTTCTCATCCATTGATGACAAAAACTGAAGAATTACATCCTATCAGTTTGTCATACAGTGTTATCAATTCCTTTTTTGCGTTTTAAAATTGAGCTTTATTCTTAAAGCCGGAACTACGGCCTAAGAGATGAGATCAAGTGCACAAAAATATAGTAAACCTGTAACAGATTGCATGCAAATTCAAGATTGTTTTCTGTTTTTTTGGAAGATGGTATCAATGACTTCGAAGTGTCAAAAGGCGTAAAATAGGCCGATCAATCATTAACACTGGCGATTTTTGGCCGAGTCGAAGGACTCGTCTATTTTTGTCCAAAAGTGCGCCTAGAGGCACGAATTCCTCCTGCGTTACGCGTCCGTTTTGGTGAGCCAATTAGAAGCAGTAGACCAATATTTTCGCGTATTTTCAAGAAAAAAGTCACAAACCATTGCCTTGCATTAGCAGAGCCTGCTGAAGTGCGAGGATCGTAGAGCAGATGAGGTTAGCCCTTCCATCGTTGCGCATGGCGAATGGCCCCACTTCCAAGCAAAATTAGATTGCATTGAGCCTTACGCGCAAATAACCACAGCTGCACTTATGTTGGTCTACTAAAAAAGAAACCATGCTTCTCCTCTCCTCATCAAAGTCGCTTGATGAAGTTTGTTCATGTTTTTCATGTAAATTAATCGGATTTGTATCTGTCGAGCTCACAGTCGCATTTGAATGGGCAGTAAAGTGGCCGGTCGAAGGTGAATATTTGTAGCGTTAAAACGCTACACGTCGCCTACTATTCACTTGTGGGTGGAGCGTCACCTGTGACTGGAAGAAGGTGAAGTCTTTGCTTGTGACACTCTTTCCTTTTCATTTCTATCTTTTTATTTGTAAAGGACATCTTGCTAACGTTTTTGTATGCTTCAAATTTAATTCAGTGGCACAAGATTGGTGTAGTGAGTTCAAGATGTTAGAGAATTCCATAATCTATTAACGACGTCTTTAAGCATTGTTATTAACGAGTCCTTGCCTATGCAACAGATTTTTTGAAAGTTTATTAGGAGAAACAAAATACATTAAGTCTTTAACAGATACCGCTTGATTGTTCATCGAATGAGGCTACTTCCTAGGCGTCGGAATGATCCCTGTGACGGATTAAATTTCAATCTGTTACTCCACGGGTGAGTGTTTTAGTTGGCCTCCATTTCTCGAATTCGCCTTTACTGTCCAGGAAAGGGTTTGATGTCCACAAATTGAGCTGGTGCATCCAAAGAAATTGTCACATGCGCACAGCGAAATGGAGAGGGAAGAAAGCACCATTTGTTTGACATCAATCATTTGGAGCTCAAAAAGGAACAAAAGGTCTACCAAGATCATCTTTATCGAAAGTCACCATTATATTGTGTCTATTGAGAATCGTGGACAACGAATTTGGCAAACTAATATAAAAGGCGTGTTTTCAGCAAGTAGCCCCCCCTAAGAGCGTGAAGCTCAAATAGCGGCCCGAGGCAGTTGTTTTGGTGTTGCTCGCCTCCTCGTAATGGTATGCTGCGAGTATGAACGAAGAGGAACATAATAGGCTAACATTGTACTACCTCATTCATGCTTTGCACAAAATTGAGACAACATTTTATGTGTCCAAATTATACATACGTCTAATCAGTGATTGCAGACAAATTTTGGAAATCGTATTCAACGGCTTATGTGCTTTACATGCACCCATTCATTGCCAATTCCCTCTTCACGTGCGAAATCAAAAAACTAAACAGTGTAGCAACGAACGCAGAGGGCTTTGAGCGATTAAATACGAACAATGCAGAGAGGAACGCGAATTTGTCATGGCTCGCATCACATCAGGGAGGTGAAATGGGATTCTGCCTGATCGCAAATTTCGTTTCCCTACATCCCGGGAGGATGTGGCCCATGTAAACATCCACGGTTATGACTTGCTATAGTTGCATTGAAGTACTTCAAGTCTAAGATTTTAACTTTACTGATTCCGCATTACATGTAGAAGGAAACATTCGGGTAAACCCCTTTCAGCAGGCTGTAACGCGTACAAGATTTTGCAGAAGAATTCTGTCGGCATAGGTCCTTTACCATCTAAATGCTCAAAGCTTTTGAGGGAGCTAAACTTTGATTCCTTGCTAGAGAAAACGCAGGGCCGGGTTGGGCGAATTGTCTAGTATTTAGCGATTCACACTTTGTTTTCTTTATTTGGATCTACCACATTACTGTGCGCTTCCAGTTTGGTTCAAATATTTTTGAACCATTTCTACTCTAAACTGAGATTTCAAAGAGTCATTGCATTACCATAACCTATTAATACCTTGCCAAATCTCCCACTCACTTGGGAAGTACGTGCCCGCGGAACCATCCCTAATAGGCCAAAGGCATCGTAATTTACAGACGAAAGGTTTCGCCCTTAGAAAGAAAACAATTTTTGGATAAGGTCAAGTGGCCCAACGACCAAAACCCTTGATCGGCATTCTATGATGAAAACCCATCAAAGCTGCTGGCACTCGCCTGTGAGTGATGCCGTTGGAAATTGTAGACGTCCCAGACGAGGTTCCCGCTAGTAATGATTACCTTGTTACCAACAAAACCGCTCTATTTGAGCGAACAAACACCCGATGAGGCAACCAACTACCGCATGGATTTACACATTGCCTTTATAGCGTATTCTCCTGCTACAACCTTTGTTTTCTTATTACGATGCGTTATTTAGTCCTAATGGACAGTTTAACGTTATATTCCTTACTACATGCAAACTTTTCATAAAAATTCAGTACAACGCTTTAACAAAATTTACTAAAACGCCTACTTTTTATAGCTAAAAGGGATATGTATGTTCCGGAATTGGTTAGATGAGAAATATTTTGCAGTATATTGAAAGAGGCACACTAACTCACCGACTCATTTTCCCATGCGTAGTGAGACGAAAGGAAAAGTAGAAGCGCCATCAGTTCGAAGTCACTTACCTCGATCTACCCACGGACGACTGTGGTAAAGTGCGCAGAAACCCTCCACTGTCCCCAGTGGGGCGAGTTAGTCGATCAGTGGGAAAAATCGGCATCAACTTCTCCCATCATTAACGTTTAACCTCCAAAGTGTGCAGCTTTATCCAGCCCGCATACTTGGGGGAATATTTTCCAGTCACGAAGCCAACCCCAAAGTCTGCAGCAGAGGACAAGTGATTAGGTGAACTCGATGCAAACACTTACTCCAAAAGCCTTTTGAAATTTTTCACCATCAAACTCCATTCAGTGGATGCAGAAGACGTGGACCGGGACGTATGTGTTCGTGTTGATTTTCTCTAACTGCCAGGCTATCTGATTTTAGACAACCAGAAACGCACGAACTAGATTGAAGCAAAATGGAATAAATGGCAGAAGTAAAAGTTACGACTGCATGCTGTGCGCACAGACTGTCAGCACGATACAAGTAGGGATGGAGATACGAGAATGGCGTAGCACAGTCTGTTTGGGAGAAGATGCTTTTTGTTTTTTGTGGTGTCATAGGAGGTGGGGATGTGTAATGTACAGTCATTGAAAACTTGGGTAGCGATTGGCAACAACTTTTCCTCAACATAACTTGAAAATGCTACTAGCACACACAGATTAAAGGTATGTGCTGTGTGTAACAAAAGGCATGGGGAGTTTGTAAACATGGCAAACCACTTGAAAAGCATAGCCTACATCCTAAAAGTCAAGTGAGTAGTAACATTTTCGGTCAGACGAAAGCAGTCCAAACATTTTATTAAGGTATTCTTTGTCAAAGTTTGATTGCCATTGAAATGTCTGAGCTTAAATGAAGCTACTACTTCAGCTGACACCCAAATTAGCGCAAGACATGAAAAACAAGTTTGCCTCAGCCTGACAATAGGGTTCAAGAAGTTGAAGTGATGCTCATCATTTTTTTAGATGTATGATATCCCGTGCCAGAGTTCATGTCATGTCACGGTGGATATCTGCGGCACGCAGGCGGTCAGCTCTCAGGATTTTACTGGCCACTGGCAGGCCTACCCAAAGCGCTCATCATCGCTCTATTTATCGAGCACACCGAGCTCCACAGTCCACCTTCGTCCTACGCTAGGCGTTGCACCACCAACGTGGCAACAGCGTTCAACCCCCCCATCGGGCCAGTCGGTGTGGCCATGGCGTCCCTACGTACCCTCCATCCCCCATAGGCGAGCGCCTCGTGCCTCTTACCAAACAGTTGGAAATAGTGGCAGTGGCGATCGGGTTGAAGACGAAAATGAGGGAGGGACCTGGTATCTGCGCCATGAGGACTGTCGCCTATTGCCCTCTGGTGGATGCGATGATTGGGCTAGGAAGCTTGTCAAACACCATCGCTACTACACTCGAGATTATGCTTCGGAAACACGCCGTGTGTAGATTAAAATGCTCTATATTGCATTCGCATCTATGAGTTTATTACATTTGGTCATATTCGTTACTATTTGTAGAGAATTCAGGGTGTCCCAGAAATTTCGAAGCTACTTGTGAAAAAATGTTTCCTCAAAATTTCAACAAAAATGACTGGAAACAGGGTAACTTTACAGTAGGTAAGTCAGTTGTAATTGATATCTGAATTGCTTTAGCAATTAAAAAAACTAACAGTCAAGGATGGTGGCAAGGGTTTTATCCTCTAAAGTATGTGTTAGAAGTGGGCATGGACAATGACAGTAAATACCTTTTTTGCATTGCGGACATCAGTCATTTGCATTCTCGCGATGAGTTGTGCAGATCATATCAGTGGTCCTTTTTATTTCCGCCATCCTTAACTGTTCGCGTACGCCGAAAGTAATTATTCCTCACTTTGATGTTGGAACATGCATAATGTCTTTGGTGCATGTGACCAGTGAAGCCACTTCTCTGCGCGGAGTTCAATCTCTGTCATGAAGTGTTGTTTTCCCACCGTGTTTGGAGCGGCTGTTCAAGCATAACTAGAATTTCTCACCAAATCTGATTTCGTATTTGTTTTTGTGAACTTGAAAGAAACGGTGTCCCAGTGTGTGGTAGCAATTGTTTCCAAAGAAATGACACACACTTTCCTCCATTTTTGAATCAACATGCAATGTGCTACTCAAAATTGCTACCAGATCCTGAGAGGACAGTTGTAAATGCAACAGACTACAAGTTGAGCACACTTTGATTCAATGTCAAAAAATTTGCTATTTATCTTCTACCTTAAAGTGCGCCAAATGGAAATGTCGGTCAACGCTTTCATCTTCTGCTCTCATTTTAGCCCTCATAATGCGAATTAGCCAGACCTTTTGGTGGTTTGGAAAGTCCGACCGGTTTCAATCGTTTTTTCGATTCAATGTTAAACGTACTTTGAAGTCGGACATCGTGGAGTACAACGACAAAATTATTCTCACCAACGCCTGGCCAAGCACTTGCGCTTGTCCCAACAAGTTGGTGGTCGGTAAGAAGTATCTCCTCCTGACGCACTCTCGGATCTCTCGTCAAAGTCTGAGGATCTCAACAGAGAGCGTCTTCTTAGAGAAACCCAAGAAGTATATGCGACTTATTTTGGTACGCATCCTTTACCTCCTCGCTTATGCCCCTTTTCTCTTATATTTTTGTGAGACTCACTGCTAAAGAAAGCATTGACACAAACTCTTCAATCATATATCTATTTACTTGGCCTCATTCTCACATTTCTAGCCATTGTTTCCACTGGAGGATTTGTTGGCAAAAGGCTCAGTGGTATTCCTTTTTAGCATTAAAATTGTGACCACGCAATCATGCAAAAGTACAGTTAGCAAACTCTTCAACGTAAATCAAACTTTGAAACCTTACTTGTTTATTAGCCCTCTGATCACTCCAGCATAGGTGAGTGAGTAACTGAGAAGGCGAATGTGCTTTCTCAGGCGCAGTTACGTGGATATTCAAAATAGGAAGTGGGTGCGCTATCGCAAAATGCCACCGTTTCTGCAAATCTGGTTGTCTGGTCACGGTAACTCCGTGTGCCCCTTCAAAGGGACGACGCACACCCACATGGTTGCAATAAACTTGGTCGGATGCTTTACCTGGCTTGTCTCCTGATACTTTTATGTCAGAAGAGCAATAGTGAGTTTTCCCACAGTGTCCATAGCTAATCTCCGGCTACCGTTATTCGCTGTTTCATGTACTTTGATTTATTAATCGCCGACTTCAAAGTCATGCTGCACAAGACAATGGCATTTTTCATACACCTGGCACGAATTGGAAGCAGAATAAAATGGAATTAAAATCCGCACTGCATACCAGAAAAGAAAGTGAAAGCGCTTTAGCTTTACAGTCCATCTCCGTCCAATGTCGACGGTGATGTGGAAATCGACAACTTTCAATACGCGCCAGAACCTACCCGATTTTACTACATTTCACGAGCCTTCCAGATAACAAACGCGAGTTTGGCCTACGCCACATCTACACCTCTTGATTCAAGCATCCGCGCTCATCACGGAAACCAAGAAGATTTCTTGGGTTCTACTTAAGCATTTCGAACGCTTCTCTGGCTTGAGAGTGCAAGTTGGTCCACCACTCCTGGAAAGCTATTAAAAGTAGTGCTTGTATGAACTCAGAGTTGCATGTTCCGAGATTGATTCCACTTTCTACACCCAATGGAGAGTAAAGCTATGCATGTGCACATGCATTTCAGTGAAGATTTAGCAAAAACGGTTGATATCCTTTCAGTGCTGGATGGGATCGTGCCCACGCCAGGGTTCCAGGAATGGAAGATATGGTCAAAGTCGTTGGAATTGGCGTTGGCAAAACAGAAGGCACTAATGAGAGAACCGCAATTCTGCAAAAACTCTCCTTCGGACGCGCGTTTGGAATGGGCTATTTCTCCGTATTGGCTCTACCCCTCTTTTCGGATGCGATCTATACATGCATGTGTATGTACCCATATATACACACATCTATACATGTATCCATAATGAATTACGATCAACAAGGTGCACAAGTCATCGAATTTTTGTTATTGTTGATCGTTGGCAGCAGTTCATCCAGTTGATGTATTTTTCACAGAAGTAATCGGCTCTTTAAGGTGTGCATAAGTTAGGACGGCAGAATTTATCTGATCACGCCATTGTCGTCTCCTCTATGGGTCAAAACAACATCGCTGTATCATCGAACGTGTCGCGTACTTAGGCATTCATCAGGCTAGATTTTGAAAATATTTTTTTGGGACAAGTGTGAAAAAGGAAACCCTTGTTAGTTGACAATTCAGCAATTTGGATGAATGATTAAGTAGTCGTAGGGACTATGCACCGTTGAACAAATTAATCCTTACCGAACGGGAAGACAGCTGGAAAAGAAATGGTCTCACCCTATCGTTAACCCACTTCCACTTAAAAAGTCACTCTTACCTTAAGCTGCAGGCATACTTCCTTCGCAAAATGCGGCGTATTATGAATAAGGATGGTAAAAAGGCATACAAGAGTCATTCTTTAATCCAAACTAAATCCAGTACTTTTGCTTCAACATGAAGCCATAAAGTACAAAAAGGGAAGCTATTGAAGGAAACATTAAGCGTCAAAAATAAATAAGTCACTGCATAAAGGAGGCCAGTTCGCGCAATGACGAGGGAAACAAGGGAGGAATGAATGCGTCATGAAGAGCCTTGAGATCACACCCTGCTTCAGTGGGATGATGATTACGATCGCAGTTGAGGGAGTACCTTGTCTACTTCACTTCTTGCAGACGTTTGCACTGATCGAGGACAAAGAAGAACGTGGAGGCCTGCGAGATGGACGATTAAGACAAGGTTACTTTCGTCTAGTAGGTTAATGATGAAGAAAAGGACAATAGTACTGTTTTGAGTCACCACTGCATCGCTTGCCTACTTACTATCACGCGTAACACACATTTTGCACAAGAAGTTGGCACCAACACCCTTTGTCAAAACCTCAAATCCTTGCACACACGTACTCATCCTTAAAAGTCCGATGTTTAATAGGAAAAACGATATGTCCTGATATTTGTTATGAGCGATGCACACTGTAGTAGACAGTGGAGGGTTTCAATGTCGCATATTGCGTCACAAATCGGAGATCCTCTTCGGCTTGGTAAGAATGAGTGCAATCTCAGCCAGCGGGATGGCCACACATCCCCTGTCAACTTTGGATGTTATGTTTCCTCTTTACATAAATCACACACAAATGCTTTTGTGTCCCATTTACAAAGCATACTAGCATACCAAATCGTGGATTCAATTTGTCATTATTCAAGAATTCTGCAATGTTAAGGTCAGGCGTGGCGTTTATGGTGACTAGGGCAGTTTCACCATAAAATACAGCCTGAAAACAAATGTTTACAGCCTTACTTGTTCAAATACTTGGATGCATCTCTTGCAAACCCAGTCTAAATAGCAACGAAGCCAGGAAAATGGCAAAATTTATTTAATCTCACCTGGTCTAAAATCAAGGTGATGTTCTTTGAAGTGAAGGTTAGCGTCACCTCCCCGCCGTACTCATCACCCTCTTCACGTGACAGAATTTTCTAAAAAAAGTAAAAATAACGGTAATGAAAATTATCATCTTGTGCCAACAGCCATGCATAGCCTTCATGCTCAATGAACTAAGACCATGCAATCTTTGACTCTTTAAGACCATATCATTCAAAGAATTCACGCAAATTGACACGTTTTCTGGTGTGGGCATAAAGCATGCACTGTGGTTAAACGTTGCCACTGCCTGCACCGGTGGGCATGTGAAAAGTGTAAGAGGAGGACATACCCTAACTCGCTTGAGATCGGAGATGGGAATGTTCATGAGGATGACACGGCGTACGGGATGAAGGAAGCAGATGGAGCTACGGCAGATGGCCACGAGAATCGGAATGGGAGATTTGGTGACATCAATGTTTTCGTAGTACTTCTGAAACACTCGAGGAGATTGGGACTCCGGAAGTGTCTTCAAGAAACCGTGAAAACAGGTTGCACCGTAGAGAGGCCAGTGCGAAATTGCAGCTATGAAAGAAGAGACAAGACTTTTAAAGTCTGCAAATGCACCGCTGTACCTGCGAACAATTGTTTCCACATTGAAACTAATCGCATTGACACCCTTCGAATCTTGCTTATTTTGATGGTTTACTTCTGCTATCGGCCTATTAATGAGGTGCCTTTGAAGAATGCATTTTCAAATTTGCGTGCATCGAGAAATGTTGGAGGAGGTGAAGCAGGTTCTCACCACCTCCACCTATTACAAATAACAGGATAGCAGGAACGAAGTAGGTCCCATCGCTGTAGTTTGGTTAAATTTTTGTAAAATTTCTCAATGTTAAGTAGATATTTGTTTGTTGCTCTCGGTCCTTAATTGCGGATGAATGCACAGTTAACGTCCTTCTGTCGTCGTGGACATAATTTACTGATAAGAAATACATTGGTATGGTTCATTTTTAACACCAGTAATATCTTGAAAAGGTCAAGTTTAAGTGAAATTCCGTCAGCAGGTAAAGCCAAAATTATATTACTACATCGGGTGGCTTACTAATAAGATTTTTGCGAGCTTCCGCAGGGGTCATTTCGGGGCATTTCGAAACCGCATCCAAGAGTTGTCTTGTCCATTCCCTCTTCCGAATGCCAACACCACGAGGCATCAAATCAACCGCCTCTTCGCTACAATAGACATGAATGTCCCAAAATATCTTAAGCTTTTCATGTTGCATAATGATGTGCCCATGTCTTGGCTTTGGTCCTTTCATGTAATTTATGAGTACACGTGAATGGAGCTTTGCACAATTGCAAGCATCAGCCTGTTTAATGTGGCTTCCTAACAGCTTCATGTTCGTCCAATTGAACATATCGATGGCGGCACCAACGATGGTTGAGCCTATCGCTTTTCTTACACACGTTGAGTCAAGACTTACGCAAGCAATAAAAACGACCATGTATTTTTTTACTTGGAAAATACATTCGCCTCTCAGCTGGGAGCACTTGAAAGGTGCATTTGGTCAACACTTTTAAGGTGCTTTAAGTAAAGTTGGCATCACACCGAAAGAGCAACTCAAAAGGCAATATTTAAGGGGCTGCGCTCACTGGGTCAGTTTTGAGCCAGTTGAGAAGATAAAGGAGAGGTAGACAGCCATCTGTATGAGCTCTCTCTGAAATAAAGGTTAGAAATGGGTAAGCAATGTAAATATATGGTGTCTTCGTTGAGTTAAAGGTTTCGCACGTATTGTCTTTCATCGAGCTGGCCATCATCAGTTGAAATCCAGTAGCCTGAAAGAAATTGTTCAACCACCTAAAAGAGAACCGAAATGTCAATCGCCAGGGTCTCTAGTTCACCACATCAAATGATATCAGAGTTTTGTATTAGATTTTTGACGTTTGTGACAGAAGAGTGGATAAAACGTTCACCTGATCGAATAAGACTTTTATGTACTCAGGGGATCGCTTTGTCAGATCGGGTTGGGTCCACCAACACACCCGTCGGTAGAAGAGGGCCGAGTCCTCGTTGCCTTCATCATAGGGGCAACAGTCAAAGTAGTATGTTTTTAATTCGATTGGGATCAGGCTCAGATTTGCGATTCCTGACAAAAAAAAATTAGGAAACAAGAAGGTGATATTGAGAACAGATATTTAACATTACCATCCAGAGGCTTCGAAGGCAGACGGAAAAGAGTGAACTCCAGCCTCTCTTTGGTCTGAGTGATGTTGAGTTGCTCAGAGAGCATAAAGGAGACCTCGCCGATTTGCGACATGGGGGAAACGTTAACTGAGATGGCACAGCGAGCCGGCAGGTTGATCCGATGCTTGCAAGTCATCTCACCCCTCTACGGTGGAGAAATTGCAAAATTAGTACACCTAACATTTCCACACCGCTATAACATGGTTCGGGACGTGGACTATCTTACTGTTCTAATAAACATTGCTTTTCCTTCTATGATGAGTGAGAATTGCAAAGAAGATTATCTTCAAACCATTATAGTGATTGCGGAACTTATTTTAAGGTGAAAAATGGGAAGTTGGTGAGTGTAAGGCAAGGAAAACCCATTGCTAGGTGTGAATGCGTTTACCAACCAATTGTGCGCACTCACCAAGTAAGCGTCAACCTCAGCGTCGGGTGGAAGGGCCTGGCGCGGGCCGTACTTCTCCACCTTGTCTAGGTTTCCAATCACCGTCGCGGCTAGCGCTGCAGATTAACAAAGAAAGGAAAATGGTGTGGATAAGTAAAACTTTTGTGCACTCAGCCAGTTAAGCTGGACAAGTTATTGCCAAGTAGAGGCACCTACGCGCCTCCACGAGCGTCGTGTGGGTACCGCCTACTGCCGCATAAGGACTGGGGGACAGTTTACAAGAACCCATTCTTCATAAAGGCATATTTTATGGAATGGAATTAAATGCTTCGAATCTCATTCTCCACAACATGTTCTAAAAATAGACATTTTTGGATTGCATATTCATTGTAGTATATGTTTCCTTCTAATGTCAGGACCTTACATTACAACTAAGCTAAGTCAATCCGAAAGGAAGAGATAAAATCCTCGGAATCACATCTCCATTAATGCCAACAGCTCCTCGTTTCAGAATTCGCGAACGCACAAATTCGAAAAAAATTTTACCAAAACTGATTTTGATCCGCCGTTTCATTTATGATCTTGCTTTTGCCTTTCCTTTGCCATCTCAAAAACCTTAATTGTTTAGTTGCCTCCACTGAGTTGCACCCTCATTATATGATTCTTGTAGCATGAAGACTACCTACTTTGGTGGGAGTTGGTCATTATGTTTGCAGTCTCATTCATTGCTCAGTTTAGCTCAAATATGGGTGGAAAAGAAGGTAGTAGTCGGAGAAATTGCGTCCTGTGAGTATACCGCACTGCAAATGTGCCAGTGTGATAAATGACAGTTTGATGACACCGCACGCCACCTGTGTCAATCGTTTGATTTTTGTTGCTGCTCTAGCCAAAAAACATTGTCCTTGTAACTTTTGAATGGCTTCTGGTGGTATCAATGGGGACGAATGGCAAAGGGCTTGAAATCAGCTTACTTTGCGCTTTCTGATCATGAAGGGTTATGCTCTTCGCGTGCTCAAGAAGCATTGTCCGCAGCTTTGGTGAGCAGGTCAAGAACATGGTGCAAATGGCGTATATTGTCCAAACCATAGTCAAAGAATTTCTAAATTGTGGCAAAGGCATAAATATTACAATGATTGAAATACAAGCCCTTCGATGCACAGGCAACAGAAAGGAGATGAATTCTTAAAACCGCTACTTGCAACCCCTAACTAAGTTTGCTTCTGTGTGAGATTATGCTTTGAAGGGTGTTGTCGAAAAATTGGCTATCCAGATTGCTTTAAGCAAAATAATTGCTAAATAATTGCAATAATGTAATGACTAACTGAAGAAGACTTGATAATTTGTGAAAACGTTGCTGGACCTACGGATTCTCGCTCTCATTTTTGTTCGTCTGTTTCACCAACTGGCAGAAGACTTCGTCTTGGAGGGACGGATGACGCTTAGCCAACTAGGAAGAAGAAAAATGCTAGAAAACTTCAAGTATGCTATGAGAAGTAGTGTCTCTGCGCAGTACAACACAGCCAACCTTGAGTATTCGTTGAACAAGAGCGACGGGTGATTTTGACGGTTGACGCTCTTGACAGAGTTCGAGAATAGCTGAATAAAGGATGGAAATTGTATTAGCATGTCTTTCTTTCCAAAGGTTGTTTTGATCGTAAATTTTAACTTTTTATCAACTAATTCCAATGGTGTTGCTTCCTGCATACACTGACAGTCAACATGCCCTATTTTACGTGACTGCTAATGGGAACAGAGGGCGAGCTCCATTTTATGGTCTGCAGCAACTTGTGCAAAGGAGGATGCACCGACATAAACATGATCGCAGTGTTATTCACCTCGCCCTGAATCAAAACAACCGCCCAAGTGCGACGACCCTTCCCATGCATCGTTGTTTCGCCCAAGTCACCACAGCCTCTCATATAGTTAAGCCCTTCGACTTCAATCAAACATTTCGTATTTCGAACCACCTCTAAAATTTATCCACATTTCATAGGAGAAATAGACCAGTCCATTCACCTTTAAAGACTTATATGTTTATGTAATTCATTTCAGTAACCTTCGAATATCCTTGACGCAGATTCGACTGCATTGGGATCCGAGAGTTTGATCAAGGATCCGTACTTCAAAGGCGTCGATTGCCAGGAGAGCTGTTTTCCAATGTTTCTCCTAAAAAATTTAGAGTAGGCGGGATTAAATGCACTGAACTGCAACACAGGTGACTTCTGTCTGAGGAGTAGGACAGAGACTGCGAACTTTGTACCGCATGAAACCAAATGTGAAGTAAATAAGGATGGAAAGCAATCACTTACTTGTCCTTGAAGTGCTCCCTTCCAAAAGGAACCAGAGCCTCCAACACGTTGCTGTAAGCAGAGCGCATAGAGGCAATAGACACGGTGTCCGACATATAATCAACATATGTCTTTTCACGACCTCCTCTTGGCGGTTCTACAGATCAAAATACTGACAAGTTATTTGGGAAGGGATGAAGGTGAACTGTTCGGGGCAACTTTGGGTTTACAAGGGTGTATCATCCATCCCCAGTAATTCCACTTAAAAATAATCAAATGTTCAGGAGTCACATAAACATTTGATTACATCATGTACATAAATGTAGGAATGTTAGAGGACCAAAGCACTTTCGCTCTGTAGGTAAGCAAATGATAACATCGTGTGCAGTGACTCACTTGATACATCAGAAGTATTTTGCCTCCGTATCTAAAGAATAAATAAGATTAGGCTAGAAAGTTGCTATACCACTAAAAGTATTGAGGGAAGTTAGCCAACAATGGTGGACCAGCTTCAGTAGCCTTTTCCAAAAATGCAGTCGCAGCTCCTTTTGGCAATGAGTCGAATACATGGTCCAAGAAAAATAAATGTATTATCCGGCATAATGGGTAGGTAATATAAAAGCCAATTTCGCCCTCAACAATATCTCTTTCCAACTCACATTGTATTCGGCGACGAAAATGTTGATAAGGCGTTTCAGATCATCGGCCTGAAATGAGATTGTAGCACAATTAATGCGCGTTACGGAAGAATATGGTCTAAGTTGTTCACTTTGGCAAGACAAGCAAAGGCAACATACGTAAGTAGTGTACATATCATAGATGTGTCCTTTGTCGTCTTTGATGGCGACGTAGTTGGGTTCATCAGTGAGACGGATACCTTTGGTGTTGACGAGGTACTTTTGACCCGCGATCGGTCGCTGGGGCATCGGACGCTCTTTAAACAAGGCGTCGCAGCTCACAATGCTGGCTAATGGCACCTCGGCATAGGGCTCCAAATTGCGTTCGTTCTTCTTTTGTTGCACAAAGCGGATAGATTTGTGTCCCACTATGCACCAGTTGTACACCCGCGACTTTTCCGATCCGTCTGTAGGCTAATAAATTGTGCAAATATTCAAATTTCAGCTACTTATAGATATTAAGTAGAAAAATGTAAAAGAGAAGACAGGACCAAGGGGAGGGGGCCTTGTGGGACAAAAGCACTAATTGAATAGGATAACAGCCAGTGACCAAGACAACTCTAAATTGGGCAACTTCTGCCTTTAAATCAGCATCGCAGCACCGTGAATGCAAAAAATCTGTGGAATCGGCTCCTAGTGAAGAGTGATGGACAGCACCATTGGGTCCGCTCACACTCACCTCAATAGCATAGAAACGACCAAAATAGTAAGGGCATTGTTTTGCTGCATCAATAACCATTCGCTTCACTGCTGTTGGTTGAAATAGCAATTGATTTAGAGAGCTGTTAAGAAGAATTTCTCCTAAAAGAAGACAAAAAATCGTGTTCATGTACTTCGATTCAGGAAATGCTTTATTCGTGTCAGGAAAGGACAACATTACCAATCGTATTGCGAAGGACGCGTACATCGTTGGGTGTCAAGCGAGGTGTGACATTTTCCAAGACATCGCCAACAATCTGACAGAAGACTAGATCAAGTAGACGCTTCGGTTTCAACTTCTCAAGTGGAGTTATGAGCTAATAAAGCAGATAAAACATCGAAGTCCATAAATTTTTTCCCGATAAATTGAGTTATGATGGATTTTTAAATGTTCAGTCACTAAACTTGAATAATGAGATATTTTTAAGTTGATTTTATTAGGGATACATGTTCTTGGATCATGAAGATCGAGTTTATAGTTCCATTGCAACGTAAGATCAAGAAGTTATTTGAATGTTGGTGCAGTTGACTTAATTGAACTTACAAATTTCAGGAACATTATTTTAAAGTATTCAAAGCTATGGTGCACAATTTTTGTGATCTACATTTGAAGGCACTCTGTACGATACAGCTGCAAGTTTCTTATTCTAATAAACCACTGGCAAATTCTATTCCCCTTACTACCCTGAAAGTGTTTGCAACCCAATTTCACAATACTGGAAGATAATGGCATTGCTAAGCTGGAAGATGATG